TCACATGAGCATTAAAAAATACATTAATGAAAGTACTTCCCATCACATGTAAAACGCTACGAATTAATTCCAACACCTAATATTATAATTGTAGTATTGAATTGTATAAAGAATTATAATAAAAGTTAATATAAACAAAATTATTGTGTAATATGATTAGTAAAATACAATAAAATAGACATAAAAATAAAAAAATAAATTAAAACTATACTTACTTGCAAAAATAGGCTATTAAATTTATTAGTAGCTCATTTTTTTTACGGGTGAGTATACTTACAAAGAAAAGAGGACCGCCGATAAAATCGGCGGGGGTGGTGGAGGGCCTCTAGCTCGTTTTTGCTAAATTAAATCTTAATTTAATGATATGATTGAAAAGTTTGAAATGTATTCAAAGACTCTATAATTGCTAATGATTATAGAGATTTTGGAATATACTTACATTATAATGTAATAATGTAATCTAATAATTATATTTGGTAAAAACGGGCTAAAAATTTGCATAAAAAATATAACTTCGTAATTCCATTTTTATGCAGACGCGTATTATAAGACAAAATTCGCTAAATTAACTTGTTTGAATATTCAATTTCATTTATTAAAATTCAACAACTGTTATTATGTATAGTAGAAGATGTCAAATTAAAATTTTCATTCAAGGACCTATTAATAAACACATTGTATTATTAAAAGATGTGTTAAATAAAAATATAAAGATTCTTATGGTAAAATCGGAATTCGAATTTTCTTGAATTATATAAATTTTGTGTTGTGATAGGCATACATTTTGTATACGAGATATCTTATATTATAAGCAAAATGTATAAACAAAAATGTTGTACAAATATTGGGTCATTAAAAAAGTATCCGCGGTTTTTTGTTCAATTTTTGAATGAAAAAACCGCGGATACTTTTTGGGGGTGGTGGAGGGCCTCTATAAGTTGATTCGTTTTTATTTATTTAAATTTTCTTTACAACTTTAAATTAAATGTAGTTTTTTTTACAATTAGAATTCCAACTTTATTCTACTAAATATTTAAATATATTTGCAAATTGTATACGTGCGTGCGTGCGTGCGTACATGAGAAACATCATATGAGGAGCAAAAGAAGTGAGATTTAATTTCACTTCTTTTTTGGAGTAAGATTTCACTACTTTAAGGTGAAATTTTATTCAAAAAGTGACAATTATCACTCTTTTTCAAGAAGTGAAATATTTTCATTTTTCTCCAAAAATTGTCGTATTTTTACTCTCTTTAAGTGAGATTTCACTCAAAGAAATTTAGAGAGGAAATCCTAATTTTTTCCAAATCAGCAAATAACAGTTTTAAAATGTTTATAAATATTATTATATTAGGTGTTGGAATTAATTCGTAGCGTTTTTTAATGAAAGAATGTTATTTATTTCACATGAGCATTAAAAAATACATTAATGAAAGTACTTCCCATCACTTGTAAAACGCTACGAATTAATTCCAACACCTAATAATTTTTTTAAAATTTTTTTAAATTAAAATTTTGTATAATTTGTCATAAAAATGACATTCATTAATATATTTATTTTCCATCTGTTATTTATTTGAAATAATAATTTAAAGAAAAAATATTTATTTCATTGAAAAAATATTATTCATTTGATATTCGTTTAACATTAATTTAATATTTTACATTAATTAATTAGTAAACAGTACGCGTTACCATTGCTATTTTTCTTGACTCAATGCTCGCCACTGCGCAATGCTGCGGAAACTGCACATACAGAAACTATAAATTTCCAATAATATTTTATCGTACATGTATGGTACAAACATGTACACATGAAGGAGGGGAAAGAAATAAAAATGTATAAAGCATGTTCATAAAAATATCCGCTTTATGTTTTCAACTTTTCGTGTCCCATTCGATATATACGACACAATTATAATAACAAATATAACCAAGGCCGTTTATCTTTCAACATCTTTTGGAACTTTCAACTAGTTTTTAGGAATAGACATGACCCTGAATGTAACGACAATGACGACAATACTGTATATTATATTAAGTACCGCAGTAAGTCGCGGATCTACATTTCCAGCGATCTGTGATTCTAAACGATTAATATTCCTAGAGAGATCTCTTCTCAAAGAAAATTCGATTTACATATACAACTCGATTTAAATATGTTATGTACGAATTTACAAATATATTAATATTTAACAAAATAATGAATATAAATATTAAAAATAAAAAGCAAATTAAAAACATTTTATATAGTTTAAGAAGAGTGATAATCCTAATACAATAGCATCGCATAATATCGCGAGAGGACACATATTGTTAAGTTTATTGCACCGTTATTTATAATTCGGTTGCTTATCTAAGAATAAGATTACAAATCGCGCGATAGAAAAGTATTCCCATTGTTCGCAAGTTGGGATTCTCATATCAAGAAAATATTCAGCGCATGTGTCATGGGAAAAGAAGAAAATGGAAATGTTTCTCTAAATGCCTACATAAAACCGACTACAAAATTAAGACGCATCAAAAAAGCATTCGTATCTTTGCTCGCATTCTTTGCGTTAGAGTAACATTGCGCAATATCGTGGAACGTTAAGATGAGCAATTATCCTAATAGAAATGATCATGTCTCACCATGTCTCACTAAGAAAAAAAAGAAAAGATATCAAAAAACAAAAAATGTCTCACTAATGTTGGATTGGTAGACAATGGAAGAAAATTCCAGAAAGAGAAATCCACAATTTAGTGAAATGATTAATTGAAATGATTGATTAAATCATTAAAATATTATGGTGGAAGAAACCCAGATGTACGTTCTTCTTAAGACAAATTTCGTATGGTTCTGTTCAGACGTGGCCATATTTAAAATATTTGCGCCGCGATAATTCCATAAATAACATATTGAAATATTAAAATGAGTATGTAGATAATACACTCGCAACAATAATCTGTTCTTTTTAGTTAAAGTTTTTGTACGATTTCTTTCTTTGCACTTATCTTTCTTTCTTTGCACTTATCTTTCTTTCTTTCTTTTCTTTCCACATTGGAGAGAAAAAGAAAAAAGATGAATCGTGTAAGAAGTTTAGTTAAAAAGAAGAGGTCTATCATCCAAAAGTTAAGTTTCATTGCGCTCTTATGCTAATGAAAGAAAATTTTTAATTGCGCCTGTTTAAACGTACGAAAATTAATTCAGATAGACCTAGATTAATGTTACCAGATGCTCACTGGCCATCCTCCACTTTTTTCAGTTGCCTATACATATATGCCGAACAAAAGCGAGATTATATTTTTTTCATAACTCTATTTTCTGAACTAAACGGCAAAAAATTTTTTCACAACATCCATTTCATACTCTTTCATCACATGTTCATTTTTTATTAACATTTTATTAGTTTAGGCTCTACAAAAATAAATGTGACATTTTCATGAACTTTGTATAAGAAGTGCAGTTTTTAATTGCTTGTGTCCCAATAATGTGGTCAATCTCATTATAATTGCACAAGCGTGCCAAAATCTTCTAGTACAATATATTTCAATTTCAAGAAATTCTGACTGTTTTTAATTCGCGATTGTACTATCTTAATTAATAAAAATATATAAAAATTATTTCCGAAAGAAAAAAACGTTAGTATTCAAAGGAAAAAAAATTTGTGAAAAAGAAAATGTCAATGTTAAAAATGGTACATATGAAATTAATACATTTTTACTTACATATCATATACATGAAAATAACATATTCTATACAATGTCTAGTATATATATATGTATTAGGTGTTGGAATTAATTCGTAGCGTTTTTTAATGAAAGAATGTTATTTATTTCACATGAGCATTAAAAAATACATTAATGAAAGTACTTCCCATCTCTTGTAAAACGCTACGAATTAATTCCAACACCTAATAGAACACATCTATTCCGCTCATTTTGATGTAGCAGCATATAAAAGAGCATTTGTGGATGCAATCATTTTTAGCTGTTCATTGCAAAAAAGGGGACTAAAGTCTAACACAGTTCCACGCTGAATTTAATATCAACCAGTGAAAGTATGTAAGTAGCTTCATCAGTATTCAAGAGTGTATTATATACGGTTTATTGCAGCGTCATATTTTTTCGTGCAGCAAGCATTACACAATATGTTATTAATTAAAAAAATTTTTTTATACATTCGTAATTTCTTCCACCATGTAAAATATAAAGCATTTCAATGGTGAACGTGAACTTCATCTATCTGCGATTATTTATCACGTATACAACACATATATTGACATATGTATATTAGATTATTCAAAAATTAATGAAAGATTAACTTTTTAATAGTAAAAAGAGCTTTCATTTGGAAATAATAGCCTTTTATTTTTTTATATATTTTTCCTGGAGTCCAAAATATTATTAACACTGACGCATTTTTCACTAGAACTCGATGAATTTTTTACAGTTGACATAAAATGAAATATACATGAATCAACATTATAAAACTATTATATTTTTAGCTCATATTAAACAGTCATTGTCGTCTTTCACTCGCCATTCGAACTGCTATTATATATCAAACCAAGTGACGATTGAGAGCCGCCATTCGAGTGCAAAGGCTTAAAAGCAGAAGTTTTTTTTAAACGATGAACTTTTTATTAAAAAGTGAATACATTTAATTTGCACATTTTTAATAACTTCGTTATTTTATTTAATCATCGACTAGATAATCCTAATGAAAAAAAATTCTTATAGTATCTCATAATATTTTTAAAAATTTGTCATTTTTAATTTATAAAAATTTCTGAAAAAGATGTTGAATGTTGTTAAGCAACATATTTAATAATCTTATTCATATTTTTTTGAACAATCTAGTACATTTGCAGATATAAAGGTATTTTCTTCCTCTTCTTTCTTTTTTGAGAAATATAAAATAGATTTAAGAATAGAAAATACGCACACACGCGCGCACGCACGCGCGCACGCACGCGCGCACACACACACACTCTCTCTCTCTCTCTCTCTCTCTTCATATTTACTTCCCTTATTTTATCTATCATCGTATTCCTTTCAAATGTAGCCTCGACGATTCACAAATCGTAGGCGCATTCGTCATAATGTAGTCTATCACGATTTATCCTTAGTCGTATTCACGAGAAGACTTATGGAAAAGAGCATGCCGCTCCTCCTCAGTAGATGGGACTTTTGAAATCGCGGACCTCACTGCTCTCGGCATTTTGCTCACTGTACTGAAGTCTCTGTTGATTCCATTACCCCCGGAAATTCTAAAAAAGAAACCAATATATTAAAAGAATTTCAAAGGGAAAAAATTAAGCAAGTATTCATAGTACAAAATAGTCATTAAAAATCTAAATAAGATAGTCTTTAAAATATAACATTTTGCTGCATTCGTTTGATTGTTGAATTCGTTAAATCTTTTATTTTCGATGTTAACATGCATTAACTTGATATATTTTATATATAAATATGCTGTATACAGTAAAGCTTGTAGTTTCTTTTCTTGAAAAACATAAAAAACAAAGGGATAAGAATTTATGTGTAACAGATTAATTTGATACATACACGACATCGGTCTTGTCGTCTTCGTCATCTGGTTCTATGTCGTCGCTCGGTACTGTGAAATACGTATTTGCGGACGCTGGTCGAAATTTATAGCCTGTCAAAACGAAAAATGCGTAGGTTGCCATTTCCCGGAAGGTTTCGTCCAACCATTGATAATCAAAACGCACCGTAATCTATAAAAGAAAGACTGTTATCGAAATATCCAAATACGGTTTGTGATTCGCAATTATTATAGGATTAATATACACAAATCATCATAAATCACAAAATCGCGTACCTTGAGTATGTACATTATAATACGAGTGAAGTATATGTAGAAGACTATCATAATGTAGAAATGTTTGAATAGCATGAGCTTGCGCAAGTTCATCGCCGCTTTATCATTCGTGCGAGCGACCTCCTCTAAGTGCCTAATACTCCACACTACCGGAAATAGAATTGCACCACAACACACCAAATCGATGAGTATAAACATGTCTCGTGAAGTTTCGCGACGTAAATTACCTACGTCGCTTTCCTCAATTATTATTTCAGCCACATTTGCCAACACCTGTAGAGAAACACATTTCTGTTACTATATCATTAGTCTATATCAGTTACTATATCATACATCAGACGATTACATGTGCAATTTGCATTTTCTTAGCTTTCGATATTCAATACCTTGAAAATAAAAAGAAAATATAAGTTTTTGAAGCTTCTACAAATACTTTCTACAAATACAGGAACTACGCGTTTTATATGGATTATCTTCATGTTCAAATCCATTATTAAAATGTCTAAATTATTAGAGGATTTTTTTAACAATAGACACAGAGATAAAAATGAAATGAGTTCTGTATAAAAAAGAAATATTTTAAAATTTTGTTAAACTAATTTATTCCAAGTTTTTGGAAGAACGAAGTTTGTATTTACATTTTTCAAGGTTAATGTTAATGATTTTAATTTTAATCAAAATATGTTGCTAAAAAAAAACAATTGATTTTTATAAAAGATTGATTCCAATTGATCTTTTTACTGATGCAGAAAAATTTATTTAAACTATAAATAAATAAAAGACAGCGATGTTTACTTGCAATGGTATGACCAACATGAAGAGTTTCTTTTCCTTGTCTGAGAGAATGTGCTTTATAAAGTTCCATCCCGTACCAATAAGCACAATAGTAATAAAGAGAACGGCGCCTTTGAGCAGATGAGTAATGTAGTATAAAATCGCCCACGCCTCGACATGCTCACCCTTAGTTTGGATAAAGTGGTAATTTATACCATGGAACAGCAATGAGAAAGACTTCAGGTACACCAGGACAGCCATTAAGTAGTGAATTTTAAATACAGAATGCCTGAATATCACGAAAGTAACATTTACATTCTGTTCAACTCTGTTCTACTAATGTCTCGCATATCTATGTCATTTCTCTTACTTGCTTTTATTAAGAATAAACACCCAGAAGCAGCCAGACAAGAAGAAAAGTAGCGCCATCGTAAAGTATAGAGCTGGCAACGGCATTTCACCGGCGCTGAGGAAGTTGTCGTTATTAGTCTCTGCTATTTCCACCTATGAGAGAAATGTTTCTTCATCGTGACGAACGATCGTCCAATCTCTAATTGTTTTCTTAGATAATCTTACCGTGAAATCTACGAGTAGTGGTTCCTTGTTATTATCGTAATTCTGACAGTTATGAAAATAGAGATTGTACAGGCCCTCTTCATCCTCATTGGCGACATACATAACGAGGCTCGTATTATACGATCTCTCGCCCGTGGACGTCGTCTCCATCGTCATCGGTAATCTGAGACGGGAGCACGCGTTGCTATCCGACCTCAGCCTCTGGTCAACGCCATGAACAACGGCCTTCTCGACCACTGATAGAAAAATCACAAGTTATATTAAAAATAATATTTATATTAAAAATAATATTTTACTGTGAAATAATACAAGTATTTTTTTTAAGCATACAGTTTAACATTTCAAGAATTAATTTTTGAGAAGTCATTTTATAAAGGAAAGTTCATATGAATATGTATATGAGCACAAAAAGTCTGATTTAAAAAATCCAAGGTGTTAAAAATTCTATGAAATTATCGTTTTTTTCTTAACTACAGTTTTTAAATGAAAAGAACGAAGTTGCTACGCTGCTATAATATTCTACTAAAATGTTCTATGCTATCTGCGAATTATTATATAAAAATACAATTTTACATATTATTTATAACTAATATAAAAAAGGAAATTCAAGTCAAGGCGATATATGTCCTCTTTATATGAATTTTTTATTCGCGCATCGCCTTATTATTATATTTGTCTTTTTAGTTTAATTTATTTTATATTGAAAATTTTTATTTAACAATAAGTTCTTGAAAAAAAGGATTGAAAGACTCAACTGACAGGTGGAACAGTCTCATGTTATTGCTTGGATGAGTCAGCATGTTCGCGAATGACAATTAAGATGAGATGTTGCCGATGATAGATGTATTAATGTAAGCGCAAAAGAGACAGTTACCTAACCGAACCTTTCAAAATACTTGAGTTTCACGTTATTTATAAGATCGGGGACGAGTTGCGTTAATTATAGCATCTCTCATCTTTGGCGGTGTTCGATCATCGATGTCGTCTCGTGACCGCATGATGCTCATTGATCATCGTTAAAAGCATCCATCCGAATAATGCGCGGAATATGCACCTCGAATATCGTAAATTCACTTATCATATAAAATATCTCTTCAAATTATATAATTTATATTTATAAATTATGTAGTTTATATTTATACGAAATATTTCTTTAAGTATTTCTCTAATATTTTAGGAATCGATTTCTGAGATTATTTCATGAAAAATTTATATAAATATATATGGTCTCAAAGATCTTGTTTCAGAGAAAATCCTAATGTCAAAAGTCTTATAAAGCTATTCTTCTTTTTTAGCTGTTAAACAATAAGAGAAATTTTTAAAAATTATTAGGTGTTGGAATTAATTCGTAGCGTTTTTTAATGAAAGAATGTTATTTATTTCACATGAGCATTAAAAAATACATTAATGAAAGTACTTCCCATCACTTGTAAAACGCTACGAATTAATTCCAACACCTAATATTAAATATAGATAAAGTGTATTATCTTCATTTTTTTTGTTTATAATCGTTGTTTGATCAAAAAAATTTGGAACAATAATGTACTACACTTAAATCTTATTTCGACGCTATTAACATTTTATAAAACGGCTATATATAAAAAAATAAAGGTATTCTGCCTATTTACTGGTTCAACTGAAAAAAACTCTTTTCGTTTAAAAAATAAAAAAAAATAATTTCATATAATTTTTAACCCTTTTATCTCTAAGATTTTTGAAACCATCATATACAAATTTTTCTTCATGAAGTGACTTCCTAAGAAGTCAAGTTCTAAAATATTAAATAATATTTAATGAGCTTTCTACAATAAATCATTAATGTCTTATGACTTAAAACTTAGGTGATCACTATTGTAGAAAATCCAAGAAATACTCTGCATTAGTTTACTTTATTAGTACTTTATTAATACTTTATTATTATTTTACTTTATTAGTATATTGATTCAAGATATCGTACTCTTTGTGCGTTGTTTGGCCTCTTTGCAAACATTCTTAAACATAATATAATAATAAAATTATAATAATTATATATTTAAGGTTTTTCTTTCATTTATAATATTGCATTATTTTTAAATATGCGCGTCGTAATATTGTGGAATGATAATAATCAATTGCTGTGTCTCAAAATGAAATTGTCAGGATAATAATTGCTGTATGGCAAATGTATGTCTCATCATATCTTTCAGGATCATAAGCCAAGTCTCCAGTTTGCACCTGTTGTACCCGTTGCAGTTTACATTTCTAATGTTGGGCGGTGGGGAAGTGTCGAAAATATCTGGCAAATGCCGTGATGGTTTATTTTCGATGTACACCACACGAATTGCTGATAACATTTACCAGACCTCGTTTTTGCGTATGTCCTGGATAGGATTTCATTGCTCTATTCATAGCAAATACTAATGGCACTTGGATCGAAATTTTTCAAGGCAAATCGCATATAAGATCAATCCGTGGATTGTGTAACGCGTGGAAATGAGATATTTGTTGTAATTTATCTTTCTTTTCATATAATTACCATGTTTTTAAAAGCATATGCCAAATGTTGCAAGCCTAATGCATATGTGACACATATTGTGCAACATTTTCAAGTATAAACGTAGCTTGCATCATATTACAAGTGAGAAATATTATCGGATTGACATGAAAAATCGATGAGACGCAGACGCGACACGTGTATGTTCCGACATTTGTTAGCGATATTTACTCTTGCGCTGACATGCCACATCATGCATAGCTTTAGCTGCCGCGTGAAGGGGTGGAAATAACTTCGCACGCAATCTAATACATAATGCGACTCACCGTGCGACGTATTCCGTTTTCTCCGTGGGAAAAGCGCGGTATCGCTGAATCTCGCCGACAGCGAACTTCTCTTTGTTCGATACATTAACACCGCACTGAGATCCCTGTAAATGTGCGCCGCATGCACATTGTTACTGCAGTTCACCTGCATCCTGCAGCATTGAAATCGAATTACAAATCTCAAAAAGTGTTACTCTTCTTGTATTTCAAAGCGTATTAAAATGTCTTCGTATATGTGTTCGCTTTCATAGGTTTCCATATAAAAATAACATTATACTACATACAAAAATTTACATATTTAAAAGTGTAGTATACATACGTTAAGTTTTTCAAGTCCATGGTAAAATATATAATCGAGCTGTCATCTTTCTGTTCTGTCCTGAGGTTCGAAACATTTTGCAGCAAGCATCCGTCCAAATGATTGTGCACGTATGGATTGATGGCATCGATGAGCGTTCGACCCAAGCTGAATCCGAACTGCGAACAAAACAAAAATGCCATTCATATCAATCTCATGATTTTACAATCATTTATTGTGTTAATAGAACAATGACACATCTCAGAATTAGCAATTTTTCAATAGAATATTTTTTAAAATTCTTTGAATTGAAACAACGTTTTAATTACATAGACGCCAACTTAGGAGAGGCAGAGCACTTTTCGCCCGCTTTCCCCATTTAAGTTATTTTTAGTCCTCCTAAATAATTTTTACAAAAGGTTCTTTTTAACTACTGCAAATAATTTCTGCTATCTAAACTGCAGAAAACATTAGTCAGAAAACATTAGTGATAGGGTAAGATCGCTCAAAAAAAGTATGCATGCACTATTTAAGAATACACATCTGGAGACATGATAGTGTGTCAGCTAAACAAGCGCAGCGATTTGTTTGAGTTTTATGGCGTAACTATTAGACCGCAGCAGCTGTAACTCACACAGAACATGCCTTTTTGGTTAGCCAATTTGTGGTTAGCCAATAAAAGATCAACGCGTTAATCTATGGGCGAGCTTTTGGGGTTTGAGTTCTAGGGCGTCGAATAAGTGCCAGGGGGATGCCACAATTTAAAAAATGAAAAGAATTATTAAGTTATTTAAACAAACGCATTTGTAACTTTACGATTTAGTAAAATATTATCATTGAATAATCGATCAATAGCAACTATCGTTATTAATATGCGTGTATACTTGGCGTATGCATTTTCTCATAATAACAATTTAATAATAACATTACAATTTTTCATGAAAGTCGATTTCCTTTCATTATTTAAAAAATGCTAATTTTTGCGTTACTTTTCCAACGCAACATTGTACTTGATTTTTTTATTTTGCTAAAAAGATAACGCGTTCTCTATTATATTTTAATAAAGCGATGTATAAATAAAGTTATAAAATTAGAAGTAGATAAAAAACAAGGATTTTTCGCACAAAGAATAGATAACATGATGGTTCAAATAAGGATTACCGCTTCGGAGATAATAAATCAATGACAACATGAAGTACGAAAGAAGTGACAGGTTTCATATGGCAGTTTACGCTCTGTGCTACAAGCCTGAACAAGTCACTCATGAGTCTAACAAGGCGATGATACATCCGCATACTCGCGCACTTATTTATAAACGCGGGTGGCTCTCCTCGTGAGTGCGGAAGACAGAAACAGGTGTCTGTTGCTGTACAACAGAGCGATGTATCGCATTGTTGCAAAGTCACTATCTCTCAATTAAAATTTAAAGCTTAAAGTTACTAATATATATATATTAGTAACTTTAAGCTTTAATTGAGAGATAGACTTGAGCTTTAATTAACTTTGAGCTTTAATTAGCGATAATTTTCCGTTATAATATTATTATATATTATATAATATTATTATATTATGACGGAAAATTATCGCTAATTCTGAGACAATATTGCAAGACATCAAAATTAAAAGAGCTATGTCAGGATTGATTTCCTTACATTTCACAGAACAATTCTTCCCTGGCGGAAAAGCTTTTATGAAAAACTAATTGAAACAAGATTTTAGACATTACTAGTTTTTCATAGAATATAAAATTTTTAAGATCTCGTCTCAATCTTTCTTTACTAATTAAGTAATTTTTCTTTACTTTCTCATACAAATTTTTTTTCTTGGCCAGGGTTGTTTCTCTAATAATTTCTTAAAAAAGCATTGCCTTGAAAATTTCTTGCAAATTTTTTGAAATCCAAATGACTGCACAATGTACCGCAGACGCACAGAAATGTATGCGTATATAGTTTGCGGAAATTACAGGCCGATTATTATTAGCAACTTACCACGGCCTTGCTCGCGCTTTCCGGTGTCAGCTTTTTGTTGACGTCCGCCGGCTCGAACTTGAAGTTCATGAGATTCACGGTCAGAATGCCGCCTTTGTAGAAGCCAAATGTGCTCAGGGTGATGTAGTGCCTGCCGTCCTTCTGAAATACGAATGATACTTCCGTGAGCGAGAACGAGTATGCATTTTGGCAAGAATGAGAAGGGAGAGCGAGAGAATCAAAGAATCATTCTTCGGCAGAGGATCTGAAAAAGAACAGATATGTGCGAAGGGTCCGACGACTCGTACGTCGACATTTTTCGGCTTTCCTCTTTATGGGAAAACCTCTGGAAATTTTTCCTAGGCACATACTACGTAATCGCACAAATTAGAGTAATTCGTAACAGTGTACATTGCGATTGTCCACATTCAGAGAAAAAAATGTAAGTGACAACTGTTTAAGTGACAATTGTACAAATTTTGTATATATAGAATCAATGTACATATATATAATTGAATGAACTATTTTATAGTTATTGAAACTAGGTCTGGTGATTTGCTTCGAAGGTTTCGAAGCAAACATTCAAACTTCGAAACTACGATCTTTAAAGCTTTGAAGTATCGAAATTATAATAATTAATTTAATGTGATGAATAGTAATACATTTTCGTTAAAAATATACGAATATATTTACGAATATATATTTGTTATTTTCTATTGGCACAAATATATTTTTCGAAGATTTAAATTTTTTCAGTGAAGCTTCAATCTTCAAAATTGTCAAAATTAAGTAATAACCCTAATTGCAAAAATAAAATAGTTTGTTCGATTATGCACACTAATTTTACATATAAATCTTGTCAAGAGTAAAATAATTTGTTATTTGAAGGAATTCTCTGCATTTAAAGAAAAACAGTGGCAGTAACTATAAGGGCTTTTTTTATTTTATACAAATTTTATATGTAAAATTAATGTGCACACACATAATATTTCTAAATAAACTGTTTTATAGATGTAGTTATTTTAAAATAGTATGTTTAACTAGAATTAATGTATATGTGTGTACATTAATTCTATATAATAATATATAAAACTTATGAAGAAAAAATTGTCACTTTTATATAGTCACTATAATTTTCTCAATTGAGTGCATATAATTGATGGCAGATAATTCTTTTTAGAACTATCCCAGATAAAAAACTTCAAGTCAGCTTGCTATCTAGTGATTGTTGTTTGAAGGAATTCTATTTATTCAGAAAAACAAGTGGTAGCCATTATGAATAACATACGATAACAATTTTTTGTATAAGCATATACATAGAATTAATGTACATAGTTATAAACAAATTATTTTAATTGTAATAATTATATAAAATACTTTGTTTAACTAATGTATGTGCATTAATTCTGTATATATATATAAAATTTGTACATAGTTATCATGTGTTTCTTTGAGACAGACGATTTCTTCTATAATTATCCTAGACAAAAAATGTCAGCTTTGCTAGTCTCAGACAATCTTCATGTCAGCTTATCTTCATGTTCGGATTCTTGTTTGGATCCTCTGCACTCAGAGAAAAAAAAATATATAGTAACTATAAAGATGACAATTCTATACAAGTTTTATACGTAAAATTAAATGTACACATACAGTTAAACAAATTATTTTATAGTATTGCATATAATGGTTTTATTATATAATAGTTTGTTTAACTATAAATAATATGTGCATCAATTCTATATACATATAAAAATTTGTATAGTTGTCACTTTCATAGTTGCTACCACTATGTTTTTTTTTGAGTGCAAAGGATGTCTTCTAAAACCCAGACAAAAAACGTCAGCTTATGCTACCTAAGATGATTCTTCCTTTGAAAAGAACCATTGCATAAGCATCAGTCAGATGTGTCTATCAGCTGTCTAGCGTCAGTTACAACCGCACAGTTGATAAATCCGACAATCATGACGTAAACTACATCAGCGTAATAACGCGTTGCGTTTCGGAATTATCGACGCGCGCACGATATTGTCGATGACACCGTTCGTTTCGACGGCTTTGTGGCCGTCGTTTTATATGTGTGTATCGCAATGTCCTTCGATTTTCCCGTCGCAGGACCTATTTTGCATCGCGCGTAAAAATTGCCCACTCATCAATAAAGTGACACTCGATAAACTCGTAGACACGTTTCGAAGCCCGTGCGTGTCACCTTCTTTCTCCAAGTAGCAATCAAGGCGCATGATAACGATAATGACGGACGGCGCCGTCTGGAAGACGTAACCAACCCGTATGTCCAGCTTGTGGATCCTCGCGCTTGCCACGGCCACCAGCAGCAGAAGTGACAGGCAAACGCGCGCCAGGACAACCGCGCTTGACCGCTGCATTTTCTTTTCTCGGCTCTTCTCGCTGCCGCACCGTCGATTACTACACCGGGTGTCACATCACAAGGGAGGACGTCGCGCGCCGCGTTAGAAAATCCTCTTCGCCTTTGCTCGTCGATACGCGAGCAGGAACTGAGGTGGTTCAGGCAATCTCGGTTGACTGGACTGGTACGGCCGGAACCATCGGACTGGACCGCTGATACTTTGCGTGATCCGCAGTGTTACAGTCAAACAGAACAACTAAAAATCATGATGACATTATAATATTCAAATGGCTCCAAAGTGATTATAAAAAGTCACTTTTCGATCAATCGGGATTTATTTTAATTCATTTTGTCGTTATTGTGATGACTTGTTGTTCTACTTGGAGTAAAACGAAGGAACATGTGAATCGGACCGCGTGCGCCTGAATTTTAATTAGGCCCAGCGCGCTACTCTGGCTGGTCAAGAAAAACGTCAAACAATTTTTCTTTTCTTTTTTTTTACGCGAATCCTGTTGTCGTATCGTGGACTACGTTCCGATTTTCATTGCCTGTACTGAAAATCTATAGTATACGTTACGTACACTATAGATTTTCAATACTGGCATGAATATCGAACGTAGCCTCGGTTTCATTGTGTCCGCCAGGGCCGGCCTGTTAAACATTTTTTTCAGAATTTTTATACGAATTGAACATGTTTTCGAAAATATTGAGAAAGTCTACAGCCTTTCTTAGAATTTTGTATATATGTCAATTCTGAAATATTCTAAAATTTCTGAGATTTCTTATTCTATTTATATTTTTTGAAAAAAAATTACATTAAACTTTTTTTTTAGAATCAATAGAGAAAACGATTCAATAGTTCAATAAATTAAATAAAATGAGATTACGAACTACTTTGAATGTTTTGTAAGATTTTTTTATAAACAACAAAATTCAAACAGATGTTTCGACCTCCATCGGGTTATTCTCGATGTTAAAAATTTTTTTTAAACTTTTTAATATTTTATCGGAAATTTTAGAATAAAAAACTTTAGAAATCTAAAAATGTTTCAGTGTTCATATTTGATAAGAATTCTAGAAAAGATGCAGACTTCGACATTTATTCTGAAGTGTTCCAATTTGTATATAAACAAATTAAGAAATTATTTATATAAACAATTAAGAAATTTTCTAGAAAATTATAAAATTATTTAAAAATTTCTAAACATTTTTGAAATTTATATAAAAATTTTGAAAAATTTTGAAAAATTTTAATATGAAAAATTTTAATATGAAAAATTTTCATCGGGGAGACGGCGACGCCCTGTAGCTTATTCTTTCTTCTTCGGGCATGTTTGCTTTACAGTTTACACCTTTCGGTCCGCGAGTGTAGATAATACAATGTAGTGTAGCTTGAAAAAAACAGATACGTTTGATCTTTCCAAGTTTGCACTTTAATTTTTACATTACAAAAAAAATCTAAAGGCTGTGAGAAAAGATAAGTGTAATTTGATAATTGGGCGAGGAACTTTCAATAATTTTGTCATTCATGATAACTCGAAGTGATAGATATTAGATGGACTAGATCGCTAGCGTCGCGTATCCATATTTTGAACATAAATAGGCTACTAGGCTATGCTGGCTAGGACGCTCGACGAAGGAAGTGATCTAGGACGATTGGAGTTTTTGTAACTACAACCATATGTCAGCTGATCGACTCACACTTAATTCAGTTGCGGTACTTGCGATAGTTGCGTTTGGAATTCGAGTTTCGAGTTGAAAAAGCGTTTCCTCACTCATCCCGAGTCTTAATTTATTTATACGTTGATAACCAAGTGTGATATCCTAATTCTCGAGTACTTTTGCTCAATTTTGCTCAACTCAAGGTAAAAATGAAATCAGATAAATTCTTTGATTAAAGATCTCTCGAATGTTCCGATTTGTGGGGCAAAAACGAGGGGCACAGATAAATGTAAACGTGTTATTATAGTTTATAGGTTATTTCTTATTGTCATATGTCTTTCTCGCAGGAAACCTTAGATCTTCTTCGAAATATTATGGAGGAGGATAAAGATTTCAAAAATATTTGGAAAGTTTATCGTTCATCTGAGACAGAACGAGTTAGATCAAATACTTTACCTGTATTGTTACCATCCAATAACCAATCGTTGAAAAACGACACGAGCGACAATTCACATGCTTTAATCAGACCATACAGTTGCGAACTGTATGGGAGCAACAAAGAATTAAGGTATTTTTTTTATTTGATAATTGTGCATGGAGGAATCAGCCCCCATAACCTTGACTTTGATATATATTGTTATGACTGAGTAACCTCCAACATGTTTTAGCTATCATTCGTTATTCATTAAAAAATTAGCAAAACAATTTTGATAAGTAAAAGGTAATTTTTAAACACAAAGTATATATTTTATTATATGTTTTTCATATATTCTGCTATATAATTTACATGATACTCTTCTTTTATGTCAAAATGGTATAAAGATATTTTATACAAAGTGAGAGCCATCTAACGCTTCTTTCCTGCCAAGAAGTGTTTGACTTAATTGTTGACATAAAATTGACAATATAAATGTATCTTTAATATTTTGTAAGTAGAGGGAAATGTGAGATAAAGTCAAGAAAGATAAATATGTTTATATACATATATATGTGTATATACATACGTTAAGCTAAATATGTGTAATTTTATATATGTATAAATATTTCATATTTATAAAACTTATTTTATTAATAATTTTTTAACAAATAATGAGCGATTACTAAAATTTGTTAGAAGTCACTTAAATCTGCGGCATACGATATGGCATGCTTATTTTCCTGTTGAATTGCTAGCTGGATTAGAATCTTGACACCGTATTGGCTGCGATGCTGTTAGTGCCAGTATCAGCCAATACGATAATAAGATTCTAATCCAGCAGAAAAACAAGCATCGTGTGCCACAAATTTTAGAGACATGATTTTGAGAACATATGTTAAGATAAGGTCATTGGGACTTCTCCCATACACAATTATTGCTGTGGTAATACATATCGAATTCATAAAATGAATGCTGAATTCAATTTGAACATGACACATGTAATCAATATGACTTAAAGATATAATGCCGAATGGATAATAAAATATTATTTGCAGCATAAGATTCCAAGATAGGATGTTGAAAGTTAACAGTGACCGTGTGAATACATGGATTTTTCCACACTACAATCATGGTATTGAAAACCTAAACTGGAGCATGCAATGTAATTCAGGATCGTTTATAAGAAACACTACATCAATGAAAGATCAGTTGGAAGATATGGAAGTTGATTCAGCGAGTCAATCAACAGAAGAATATACTATATGTCAACCAGAAGAGGCTGGTACAATTAAATCTGTTATTTTTTCAAAGAAGACTAGTTTGCGCCCAAAATTGAAAATAAAATCTGAGAAACAAAAACCTGAGAAGAGACAGGGCTCAAATCCTGTGAACGAAGACAATATAACACCTACGAAAAAATGGAAGGATGATGATGTATTAGACAATCTCCATCCAATTGCTCCGTCTGATTCTTCTGCCATTTCTACTGCTAATAGCTGCGACAAACGCGAAGATTCTCAAGCTAAACGTCTACTGAAAAAGAACTTTTTCTTCTGCAAACGTTCTATGTTTTTACTATTATTATCTACGATACTCGTGACTTTTATCTCGGTGTACTTGTATGAAAATCAGGAGACTCGCAAGCATAGCAATGATTTTGCGAATGCCGTTGTTGAATTGAAGGAACGGATTTATGGTCACAACAACTTGCAGAAACTCTGTGAATATCTTCAGAGTGATGTACCCTCCTTCAAAGTGATAGTCCTCTTTGGTGATACAGGCGTCGGTAAATCATACACGGTAGATATTATAAGAAGGAATTTCCCGCGAAAGTATGCTATTCGTCAGTATTTCCCGCCATTGGAAGCCGTGAACGACATCAACGTTCCTCTCTTATATCCGAATCTAATTATCCTGGAAAATTTGAAAAAACACGATTTGACGGACTTTGTAAACTTTCTAGAGGCCCGTCGAGACACGTATAAGAATCACTTCGTGACCGTACTGGCCATTTTCAACTTCGAAGATTTAAATAACCTCGAGATACGAATAAGAAATCGGCTTTACGATGCAGCCGTAATAAAAAACGCTTTTCTCAACAAAAGTATCGAAGTTGAAATTTTTTTCTATGAGTCTTTGAACGAGAATGCTTTAGAGGGTTGCATTATAGATGCGATCAAAGAGAGCAAGTTGACGCTCAACGAAAAACAATTTGATCTTGTTAAAGAGAATCTGTTGATACATCAGGCTGGTTGTAAAAGGGCCTACAGGTATGTTCAGCTGATCGGTAGGCAACATGAATGAATGTAAAAATTGATCGATAGAATTCCTTATAAAGACGAAATGAAAAGACTGATGAAATCATTATGTATTTTATGACTGACATAACAAATATCTGACTTCGACGCGCATTTTTTTGTATATATACTTTATGTAATTGTTTCAATTACTATATGAGTACTTTCCAATTGCTTAACACAAATGTACACATATTTTAACACAAATGTACACAGGAGTAAAATGTAGCATTGTGACGACTCAATTAGAACAAATGCGTCGCTGTACATGATTTAAGTATAAAATTAGGTTAAAGATAATTTTTTTCACCTGTATTGAATGAAGGCCATTATCTTCCAATCTTATTTAGTGATTAGTAATATGTAATTGTCACAAAAATACAAGCTTACATAATCGACTAGTAGCTTTTGGACTGAGTACAGATATGTGTCAATGACGATAATTAGAACTTTGTGTCGCCGTGTTCACGAAAGTGTGTAGTGATTTTACAATTGGAAAGCACTTTATGTATTGTGATAATCTTAAGACCTAATAAGTAGTTCTTATTGAGCGAATATATTTTCTGAATGTAAATATTTTTTAAAACGCATTTTCGCTTTGATTAATTAAATGATTGTCGACCTTCTCGCCGATTTTTCGTTAAAGGACAATTTTGATAATTTATGGAAAGAGATCGAGCAGCCAATTTCATTAGTGAAAGCCAGCTTGGACACGAATATGACGTTCACGGTCTATGGACTTGAACGCATGATGAAATTTTCATGTGCATTACTTCCGGATTGTGAATATTGAAGATTCGAGCAGTAATTTTTGCAGGCGATATCGAATCACTTACGTTCGATGAAACGCGTAATCTACTCGTAGTTTCGCACGATTGAGCGAACTCATATGGTTTAAGATTTCCAATACACGACATATACGACATATAAAATGTCGCGGACTTTGAAACTTTCTTTCTGTATTGCATTTGGACTCATAATAATTTGTAAGCGATATTACGTATGTTAACTAATGACACATTATACCCAAAGTATGAATGTTACGTTATTACTACTGATCACTCTTGTGCAATCAAAAAGTCGCTCGATTGTATTTCTAGGTAGGTAAGTAAAATTTTTCCAAGATGTGAAAGAAAGAATTTCTTATCGATTACATAAAATAGTCGTGCGGTCGAGTTGCCGCTATGAATGTTTCGAAGCATTATTCGATTGGTCAATTAGTAAAATTCTTTCTTCCGAATGGTCAATCAAATGCTTCAAAGCATTCGTAGTGGCAACTCGACCGCACCCATAGACATCATTCTATCTCTACTTAGGAATAAGTGAGGGAAGAATTAAGTGTCAAATCTTGAAAAAGATTATTAAGAATATTTTATTTTTAAGTTACAAATTTGATGATGATGAGTCAGAATGTGGTCAGAATTGCAGTCAGTGCCTTTAATTAACTATTCTCATCTTAGGATAGACGTCTTTTAGAGGTACATTAAACTTGCTACTTGTATTTTTGGGAACTATTTTGCTCAATCTATTTATATTTCAATTTATAGTAATTAGATTATGTAGATTTACATTATGGACAAATTATAGAGTTTTCGTTTTATACTTATGACTTTTAAATATTAATTTATGAAAAATAAATAATTCAACTAGAACATTGATTATACATATAGCGAAAAGGATTTCTTTAGATTGATAAGAAAAATTATAATAATATGAAATAATATAATAATATATAATGATAAGAAAAAATATAATAATTATAAATTATAATATTATTATAATATAATATAATATATTATTATTATGTTATATATTATTGTATTACATATTATTATATTATAATAATTATTATAATTAAATAATATAATAAAAAAAAATTTAATATTTCTTTGTAAATAAAAGTTTTCAAGCAAAGAAATAAGAGAGATCGGAGAAAACGTTAAAAATACGGAATTGGTAGTAATTTTGAGCGACTCTATTCATATAGTTAGTAATTCTCTTAGATGTTACAAGTTGTGGTCGACTGATGGACGCGGAAGTAAGTTGAATATTTTGTAAACGACTTTGTACACATTAGCATTTACCAGTGCTTTTCTAATATACAGGATTATTTAATCATCAAGATGCAATCTTAATCTTCATTACAGCCCATTTCTTTTTCCCTTAATTAAGCCATTATGTGATTTTCTTGTGACGCAATTTAAAAAGAGGGATCAATCAGTTAAAATTTTTATTTTGTGACGTTACGTCTGCAGGATAAAAAAAAGTATCTCTCATTTGCTTCTTACGTGCACCGATGAGATGTGACGCAACTAGTCAGAAGTTACGTCCGTCTTTTAACACGCAAAACTATGTGTATTACATGATTACATCGTAGGACTTACAATTCGCCCTCTTTACATCACTTCCCCGAATGTCTCGTGACGGGAAATAGAAAGTTCATATACGTATTTGTATATATTTATGAAAATCGATTAGTTTATTATAGCAATCCTTCGATGCTCTTTCCCCCTTCCTTGGAAAACGCGAAACTCCAAGGGAACCTGGAGAACATTTCCTGTTTGTCGGAATGAAGTTAATTTTTGTTTGACTCATCTTTTTTAACGATTAAGCTAAAGGCTTGTGGCGACACAGACATCCTGTGCGTACACGTGACTGCTAAGGTGTCACCGAAGATAAACGCGAAGATTAACGCGAATTCGAACCAACAATTTTCAGCTTGGTTACCTAGCGTCATTCCTTACATCCGTTTTGACGACATCGGATAATGTTTGCTTCTCCCGATTCGAGGATGTTTTACGCAATGACGTTATCAAATTAATTAGCGTTATGAACTCTTTCTGTAGAGAGACAAAATTAAGTTAACTTTCTTCGAACATACATACACTCTCTCTGTCTCTCTTTAAAAAAAAAGTGGTTGTATTTGCCATACTTAATTATAATTTATAGTAATTTTTGCCAACTATATTTTTTTGTTAGAACTTTTAATATGTATAATTATTATTATTAACACACACTATAGCAGTAATAATTATAAAAATACAGTTCCTATTCCGTAATTATGTAATCCCAGTACAGATAGTACAGATTTATGATAAATATTCGTAAATATTTAGTAGGTATTATTTAACTTTATTCGAAAACATTATCTAATATTTATACTAAATATAAATTAATATTTTTTAGTTGAACTATAATGTTTTATTAAATATATTTTTTTCATAGCATTTACATAATGTGTACTATAAATATTTCATTTTACTTGAATTATAATGTCTCATTAAGTATTTTCATAGTATTTATTATGACATTTACAATAATTTATTTCATAATATTTATAATAAATGTTTGTCTGTGCGATCTAAGACCACAAAAATATTTACAAAATATTAAAAATAAATCTTACAAATAATTTTATATAAAATTTTTATATAAAATTTATTTAATAAATCTTACAAATACTTTTGTAAATGTTTTGTAAATATATTGTATGCTATCTAAGATTATTTAGACAGATCAAAAAATAATAAGTTCAAGATGACATCAAGAAGCCATTTCAAAAAAATCGCTTAAAAATTATAATGTCAAGAATTTACATAAAATTATCATAAAAAAAAGTGTATCAAATGATATTATTATGATGTTTCTTAAAATGACTTCTACTTGCTGTTATCTTAATCTTATTACATGATATTGTGTGCTATAGTCAAATACAATTTTTTCTAAGTGTAATGACTGCGTCAATTGTACCCCATCAAATTTACTGCTCATGCAAACATAAATTGGGCAATTCACCAGTTAATTTTTTTTAAGCCGTTTGTATAAGCTGTATATCTTATTCTACATTTTTTTTCTAGTTTTATTTTTTTTAATTATCCTTTTCAAAATTATTTATGTGCTGCTACTATTGTTACATCTTTTATAATTATTGTATTATTTTGTTATATTATTTTATATGATATGCAAATTGAATAAATTCACAAAAAATATTATTATATACGATGATCGAATATCACTTTGATTGAATATAGCGTTTTTCACTCGTGTGTTTTATTTCATCAGTCGATTTTTATTTAACATCAGTGTTGGAATCTATCGAGATAAAAGTATCTGATACAGTATCTTATAGATACTTTAGTTGTATCTAAATACCTAGATTCTTATAGGCAAGATACTTGTACCTGTACCTGGATATTTTTTGTATAATATCTTTTAGGTTTAGGTACAATACATAATTTATTTTTACTTATTATGTTATTATATTAGAAACTTAATATTTGATTATTATATAAATTATCGTTTTTCTCTAATTCTCAACGTTGTGCAAGTATTTTATCATCTAAGTAATTTTGGTTTTTACTATTTAGTGAATGATTCTCAAAGAATCTCATAGAAAAAGGCAAATGTTACATTTGTCGTATAACAAAGCATTTCAAGCCTATTGATTGGCTGCAAGAAAGAAAAATTGTCGAATCTCTCTATCTTATATACCCAAAGAAATATTTTACCGATAAGCGGAAAATTCTTAGCATTTCCTCTAAGCAGAAAAATGTTACATGAATCAGGAGTGTGTATTTATAATACGTATTCATCTATAAAAATGAGGACACATAAGCTATGATTAAAAATAAATTCTTCTATAAAAATTCTATTACAATAACTCGAATAATCTTTTGAAATAAGCCCTGATGAAAATAAAAATAGGATCGTAAATTGAATGTAATGGGAAAGTAACAGAAGCGTAAACGAAACTTTTAGGAGGTGAAAATTGAAACATCAAAATGTAAAAGAAATGTAAATGCTTCTTTTACATTTCATTGTTTCAATTTTCGTCTTCTAGAAGTTTTGTTTACGTTTCTGTTACTCTCCTATTACATTCAACTTACGCTCTGATTTTTATTTTCATCAGAGAGAGGATGTACAAGATACTAGCGGCATGCTTATTTGTTAGCAGAAGATTGTCATTTACGTTCTATCGTGCATATTCAGATATTCTTTCATTGATATGCAAGATATTTTTTTATTAAGAGGATTCCTAAAAAAATATTAAAAAATTTTTCATGCATGAATATGTATAAACATACATGACACGCATAAATATTCATAAATGTGTATAATTATATATAATTATATATAATTATATGTCCATACATGTTTATATATCCTTCTTTTTTTATAAAATTACTTTTTAGTGTAATAGAAACAATAATAGTAATGTGAAAACATAAAAAATAATTAAAGAGATAATTTTCGCATTGTTTGTTATAGAAAAAAAAAAGTTTGGAAAAATGTAAAAAAAAATTGCTCATATATAAAAATTGCTCATAATTATGTATAATTTTATACATAAGTATATGTAAGTACATAATTATACGTAAGTAATTTTTTTACATTTCTATAAACTTGATTTTTTTCTAAAACAAATAGTGCGAAAATTACCTTTTTAATTATTTTTAATTGTTTTCATTAGTATTATTATTTTTATTATAAAAGGCAATTTTACAAAAGAAAAAAAGATACATGAATATGTATGGACATTTCATATAATTATATATGTTTATGAATATTATGCGCGTATATTTATACATATTCATAAAAAATTTGTTATCAAGTTGCAATTTAAAATTCAGCACTTTATGATTATATGAAATTTCTTTATTTTATAAAGTATTTTCTTGAGATTGTATATAAATGAAAAATCCTCTGACATTAACATGCTAAATGACAGAATTTTTTTTTGTGTACTCAATGAACTTAAAACTTTGTCGTACGACAGGGGCTAATATATTCATTCCATCCAAAGACTAATATTTATCCGTTTTACGCTTTTCAAGCCTGTTGATTGGCTGCAGGATAAAGAGGTTTTCGAATCTTTTTGGTCTATAGCCAATTAATATGCTTGAAAAATTTCGTACAAATGTAATATCAGCTTTAAAAGAGTGGCAAATTGGTCATGCAACGTGTACTCCTCTTTAGATCGATTTCAAACATAAAGTGTTATAACCTATTATGAACAGAAAAATTGTAATTTGTCGTGTTAGTAATTGTTTTGTAATCTCTACCATTGGAAATTAAAAGTTGAACTAAGTTTTCTTAGTCTGTACATTTTTAACATTGTAAGTCGGAAATTAAACTAAGTTTTTTTTACTTATTCATATCTTTATCATATCTTTATCAGGACTTTTAAATTTTTATTTTGAATAGAGATCAAGCAAACAACTTTAAAGATTCAAATAAAAACAAAAAATAAGATATTTTATAAAATACATGACGTGCATAGCGATGACGTATGTACAATTATAATTTTCATTATTCAAATATTTTTGTATGTATTACATAAATAATAGTTTCATATAAAATACAATTTGTTTACGCAGCTTGTTGTTTTCTTTTTCCGTTCTTTTCTCTTTTTTTTTTGTTAGAAGTATAAAATATATCTAAATTTTTCAGGTACTTCTATACTGTATCTGTATTTATACCCAGATAATTTTTGAAAATTATATCTATATTTGTAACTAAATATTTTTCCCACACAATATCTATATCTGTACCTTTCGAACGGTAATACATTATTTTTTCGTTATTAATGTCTTCTTTGTGCTTTACTATTTAATTAATTTATATTATCTATATTTGATATTATTATCTATATTTGAATTGTCAGCTATTAATTTGCAGTTTCTTTTAATATACCACTTTAGCCTTAGCTTTCCAACTTATTGTAATTATAGCTTTCAGGTTTAGGTTTAGATTTCAAGCAGCATTAAATGGTTAAACTTCGTTTATTGTATGTGCAACTTTATATATTGTGTCTTTGCTGTATCACATTTTCTGTAATTATTTTCATTAATATTCTTTAATTACAGTTATTATTATTATTATTATTTTAACATCTAATATCCTTTAATTATAGTTATTATTACTGTTATGTTAACATTTCCTATTTTATATATTAACGAACAACATCACTGCATCACGTTAATACGCCATAGGTTGCATTCTGCTACGCGAAACATATATAGTTATCACAATTAGAGTAAATGAACTTTATAAAAATTTTCCTTGTATCAGATTCACCTTCAACCAACCGGTTGAACCGGATGTCGAGTCAGCTAGAAGATGATCGGCATCCGGACTAACTCGAATATACAGTCGGGGATTGTTATGAAATTGATAGAGCCGCATTCTATACATGTATACTATTTAAGTATCTATAAAAGAGGGTAGAAAGCAAGCATAGTCTGCGAGTTCACATTCGACGGAGCTTAAACGGGAAAGTTGGATTACGTTTGATTCTCCATGCGTTAGGAACAAAGGCGAGGTCACCTTCTTGTACTCTGAAGGATTCGCGGGTCTCCGCGAGGACACACTCGTTCGCGATTGGAAAAGAGGTGTGGAGGAAGGGCAACGGGCTGGAAATTATAAAAGAGCCATTGACCAGCAAGAGTGGGGCAGTCGCTTCCAAGTGTGCACCTGGAGCTCGACAATCGGAGTACGTTCATATAATCATATAGGATAAGTGCTTAAGACATAGATCCTCATCGCTTCGGTTTCGCGCGCGGTTCCTCAAGAGGTAGATTGAGTAAGCGTGAAAATAGGACTTTTTTAATTAATTTATATAATTTTAATTAAATACTTACTTAGCATATCTTATTTTTAATCATTTGTGTGAAATTGGTTTATTTTTTCTTATAGTAATCATTAAGACAATCAAAATATGCATATGGCATGATTTTTGTTTGATTAAAAAAGAAATAAACTATGATAAAACATATAAATTTGTTTCATATTATACATTTTGAGTTTTATATGTTACAGCATATTTTGCATATTTCACACGCAAGAGCATATTTTTGCATATTTCGCCCATACGTGCACAATATTTATATATTTTTTTTATTTTTATTGTATTCATCATTGTATTTCTCATCGTGTTTTAATTTAAATTTATAATTAGTTTTTCCTGATGTAACAATAAATAGGATTTCTGAAATCAGTTGTTAATCAGAAATATGCTACATCATATTTTATATTTTTGAAAAAGGAATTGATTAGATAAATGATTCCTACACGCCGCAATGTATTGCGCAGTGATGTCAGAGAAATCACAAAGAGAAAAAGATTTCGCGCTTTTACGTTCAATCTTCTATATTTCTGTGTCATACAATACATAACATCAAAGACCCTGTCTCTCTCTCTCTCTAGAGTCACTATAATAAATAATATGTATTTGTTTAATTTTAATGCCGTAAGACTAATTACATTTTTTTTTAATGTAAACAAATTCTATCAAATTTATTTTACTTTGTTATTATAAATAAAATTAATAATTTGAAAATTTGTGCGATAAAAAATAATTTCTAAATGTATATTTTCCTTTCTTTAGAGCATTTTTTTCAATTTCACAGAGCATATTTTAGGAGTTTAAAAAGAGATTTTTACAGCATAATTTGTTTTGATTCCCTTAGTAATCGTTGTTTTTCAGTGTCTACATTTTTTTATCTTTTTTAATTATAAAATAAATATTAGGAAATCATAAAAAATTTAAATTTGGAAATGGAAATAGTATAGACAAGATTTTTATTTTAATTTGTCTTATCAGAATATGATACACTTTAATTTAATAACTAAAATACTTGATGCATGATTTCCTGTTCTAAAGATAATGGAAAGATAAAATTTAAATCGATAAAAATTTATAGAGTATATAAAAATTTTAGGAATACATATATATTATAATTTATACAGTAATCAATTATGTTCTCAAGAATCAAAGATCAGTCATCAAGATGTCTGTGTTTCAGTTTTATAATTTTACTTACAAAAAGAAGAACATAAAACCACAGCACAAAATATTGTTTTTAAATCATTACATTAATAAAAAATTTTCTTTAGACGTTCGGCCACAATCTGGCCATTTTTTAATTTGAATCTAGAAATTTTTATTTTACATAATTTACAATATGGTAATTGGCGCTGACTATGTTTCATAACCTTTACAAGATAAATATGTATACATAAATAATTTATGCATATTTCTATTTTTGACGGCTTTATTAAATTTAATGATCAGATTTATATAAATTCTGCGTTTTACTGATATTTGTTCTTTTATGAAGATAGCCTTGTGATTGTGACTGAAACATCTAAAGAAAAATTTTTTATTAATGTAATGATTTATTAAATATCACAAACAATATCTTGTGTTGTAGTTTTTCTTCTTTTTGTATATATATATATATATATACATGTATAGCTTAAAGATGTACTAAATTTGCCAAGTAAAACTTATTTATTGAATGAGTACTATACTATTTCACAATTAAAGAACTTCTTTATCTAAAAGATACACTGTATCAACGTTTATTTTGTCATAATTTATTTAAAAAAACAATAAAATTAAGATAATGGTTGCGTTTGGAAACGTTGCGACGCGTCGCTCGGATGCTTCCGATGCCTCGGATTCATCATCTGTCCTTGTTTAACATTTAATGTTAAATAAGGACAGATGATGAGTTCGAGGCATCGGAGGCATTCGAGCAACATTTCCGAACGCAGCCAATGTTGAAATAAAGTATATCTCATTATGGGTAATTACTTTAAAAAGAATTGCGCGAATATCGTAATGCATAATAAATTACACACAAATTTGTTATTGCGAATATTCCGATTAGAGCTTTTCTTTTATTGAAAAATTAATAAATTGTACGTTTGAAATATCAATATTAATATTTTATTAGTTAAATCATTTTTAATATTTAAATCACAAATTACATCACGCTTAAGGGTTGAAATTTACAATTATACGGCGACAACATAATGACATTGTCTGTGACGTCAGCGATAAGCTTTCCAATCACGTTCGCCAGAATAATTTGTCGAATCGATTAACGTTGCGTGAATTTTAATTGCACAATGATCTTCGGAGTAATCCATCCTTGTCTCATCCTTGGTCATAAAGGCCGACGCTAAAGGTTGAAAATGGAACGCAAATAGTCATTTTTGATTGCAAAATAATATTTTAAATTCGGGTTCAAAGAGTGCGAGATATTTATCTTGCTTATTTAATGGACTACAACAAAATTAACTGATCGTAAAAATCGTGACATAATTATCGTAATATATGAAAATAAGTATATAATATTACATGATCATCATGCTGTAATAATGAGCGGTAAAATCTTCTCTCGTGCAACGACATAAAAACGAAAGGATAGATATCGACGTGATGTAATCGACGTAATCGACGTAACTTAGTCTCATATAAAAAAAAAGCTCTTACGTGCGCGACCGACAACGCTTGAGAGATGAAAGCTCGCGAGTAGTACGTGATAAGTGGCACTTTCTACGCGGAAGAAGATAGTATACCTTTAACCGGCTCTATCATAATTACAGTATGCTTTGTGCGTGTGTCGTGATTACGTTCATCGCCGTAAGACGGACACGGATATAGCATAGAGCAAGATACGTATCCAGAGACATGATAGTATCTCGACACTAATGTTCCTATTATTCGACGATGGCTACTTTTCTCTTCTTTCTTTTTATTAATAGTTTTCTTGAAACCTGACATGCATCTTATAGATGCATTCACCTGCTCTTATCGGTAAATCTTTTTATTTTTGACTCTACAAAACTTGACGTTCTACAAGCGATGACATAACTTTACAGATGTTACGTATGCTTTATATTATTTTTGTGGGTCCGGTTACGCTTGCAATATGTAAAGACAGTATTGCAACAAAGTTATACAACCTTAATTACCCTCGCTCTAATATGCGGAGATCCATGGTTGAAGAAATAGAAGTGAGTGGTCCAGACGAGAAAACAAGCAATCTATCTCTTTCAATAATAAACGCAACTTAGAGAAGAGAAAGTGAATAGTTAATTTTATGGTGAAATGATTCTTGCGCTACATAAAAAGACAGTGTTCCAATTTTGTATGGATGTCTTATTCTCCACTGAAAAAAATATTTTAGTTACACTAACAAGACCCTCAAATTAAAAATAATAAACATAATATCCTAAGCAGAACACAAGTTGTCATAACATCAAAGTGATATTTAATGGCAAAATGATTAATAGAAGTTATCTTACAATCAATAACATTCATTTTAATGTCATTTTAATGTTATCGTGACTTGTTATTCTGCTTGGGATGAAATTTTACGTTTAACAACGTAATTGTTATATGTAATACATGTGTTGTATTGCATTTATATTGTTGAATGTGAGATGATAACATTAATGTTATGTTATTTTAATTGATATTTATGATTGGGAAGTACAAATAAAATTCGTTTATAGATCATACAATCAGAATTTTAATTACCGTAACTGAATTTGTGGGTATATCTCGATTAAAATGTTTAATAGATTTAATTATCTAATCTGCAACTTTTGATTAAATTTATGAGATTTCCAACCTATGCAGTCAGATCTTTCTTCCGTACAGATAGCACACAGAATCATAATAAGAGCGAGATAACATCAAGTAGAAGTTATTTTTAAAATTATAATAATTATTTGATATATATATATA